TCCGGGGTTGAACGTATACTTCAGTTGTTCTCTGATCTGCTCCCTCAATGTTTTTTTTAATTATTTTGCAGTAGAATAAGTGAAAAATAGAAGAGCGAAACTGTTCTTCACGCATGGAGGCGAATGTTGGAATTTCAGGTAAATCTGTACGAGCAAGAAGAAAACTATTCGAGCACCGGAACCGTTTGTTCATTTGTCCTAGCTTTCAAATTCGTGCGAGAGTCCATCGGCAGAGATCAGAGCAGCAAAGGACAGTCGAAAGCGTTGCAGAGGTTTGCTAACAAAGACCAGCAACGCCGGCGTGCAAGTGGGTGCGTGAGGCTCTGTACGCCGGCGCCAAATCGATTAAGGAGTTCTCATCGCAGGCCAAGACTTCAATTATCGGCTCTTCATGCTGTCGACTCGAGCTGCGAAGTCAACGTCGTGCTCCGTTTCGAAGTTATGGACAGTCATGTGTGACAATTTGTCAACCCATTGCAAAGCCAGCATATGTTCGTGCATGCGCGGCCCCAGCATAGGTTCAGTCTGATTTGTTTAAGCCCAAGAGCAGTTTACGCACGCGAGACGATACACTAAGTCCGAATGATGCTTCAGATTTTGTCGGTCATTGATTCGCATGTCCGCTCGTTATGAACCTTATGGTATAAAACAACATAACAGTCTGCGGTTGCGCGATGATTATCGCGTCCTTTCACTCTTTTTGCCTTTATGCTAAAAGCCCTGTAATATCGCGGTTAAAACACGCGATTAACAGATCCAATCTTTTTTACGACCGGGGATGGAGGTAGTGATAATTCAAACATGGGACGTTCATAATGAAGGAAGCCAGGGAGACATACACTGAAACTTCCCCTTCTGGTCCAATCGTGTTCCACGGTAATATTAGGTCGAGACAACTGAAAATGAGCATGGACGCAATGATCGACCATTTTCCGAGCCCCATTTATTAGATGAGGCCGTTTTATAAATGCTGTGTTCAAATGAGAATGACAGTGAAAAATATACTTAAGTGTGGGTGTCCAGCGTCGTAGCCTAGTTGGGTAAACTATCCGAAACGTGCCTAGTTTGGGCTCAAGTCGACTGTTATGACCCGCCTGGTACTGCTAACTAAGTCGAACGCCGAGACAAGGAACCCGTAAGAGTGAGGCAGAGAGAAGACGGGTTGGCCAGAGAGGGCGAGTTTACTGCGACAAGCACGTTACAGCAAGTCAAGTCAGACACAGGGTGCATGTACTTTGAAGGGAACGCGAGAGACATCGTGCGACAATGGACCAATCAGGATCGGAGGAAAATCGATAGTCACGTCGCGCTATCATGG